TCCTTGATGAGTCCCGGGGTCGGCGGCAGGGGCGGCAGCCCTTAAATATTAACGCAAGGATTAGAACAAGCTGGGACAAGGAATGGGTGACGCTGCCAGAAAAGTGCAGGTATACATGGTACATCAGTACATCAGAAGAGGTATACTATATTATAAATATACCATAGACAAGACCTTAAGACACACGTCAACATGGGCCAATTGGGTCAACACGATGATGTTTTCTGCCCATCGTAAACTGGCACTGCAGGTCTCCGCAGGATTGCAAGTTTATGGTGGAACCATGTGGAACAAGGCCACCAAGCACTCACCGGAGTTGGGAACCCCTCAAACGCCGCACGAGTTCCTCGTGACCCGAACCAACTCCTCCCCGCTTTAGTCACAAGAAACGCTTCTGGGGATCCCCCCCAAGAAAAACAGGCCACCAACGGAAGAAACTAGAAGACAAGTTTTAAAAGCAGACCACAAAATGAAGAAACCGAAGATATGTGTCATTGTTTGCTTCATCCCTTGACGTTCCGAACTGGCACTGCTCCTTGTTCTGCGCTTTTCCGCCATGGCGCTGCGCAGGTCCAATCGCCCCACGTTGTGGCAGGTCTGCTCCGCGCCAGTGGGGTAGAAGTCCGCCACTAGTTGGGCATCCGCGCGGTCGCGGACCTGGGAGCAAAGGACACCATAGGGCTTGTAGAGCTTCCTGAAGGGCAGAAATCGATTTGCAAATCGGGAAGAAGAAACACAACAACAGAAGTCAAGGGTTGGGGAGACAAACAGCGGAAGTTGAACAGCTGAACAGGAACAGATCAGCAGGATCTGATCGGCATCTGGGAATCTGTGGCAAAACCTTCTCCAGGTTCAAACCTGGAACAATCCAAAGAAATTGCGGGATGTCACTGAAGCAAACCCGTGGTCATGGGAGATATCCTTCAATACTCACCGGCTCTTGAGGGGTGTCAACTAACTTCGATCGCTTTTGAATGGCTTCTCAACCAACACCAAAAATTGTTCATTCAGCAAATCCAAGCTTCATGTAGTACTCACACCTGTCACACAAATTGCAAGCACTTGGACTGTTCAAGTTCAGAATTCACTTGAGACCTGCATGTGAAGAGGCCCGGCCCCAAAAAAAGATTGAAACTCACGTCTTGTGCGAAGGGTCGGATGGCAAGGCTTGCCAAGACGACTACCAAACGCCTGAACATCGTGTGATCTGTATAAAAACCAACAGCCAACCGGGCTGTCAGAAGAGATGGCCCTGGCAGCCTGGGAGGTGTAGGAACATGCACCGCACTGCCCTTGGAGATTTTGAGGATGGTCACAACGTCGGCATTGTCCACCAACAAAGTCTCATCATCAGCACGCCGCCCATTGATGTACACCTCGTCTCATTTTGTGCCGGGGCGCAGAACACACAAACGAACTCAATTAATTAAGTAATCCCGAGTACATATGAAAAAACCTCTGCAGTTGAAATTAACACCACGTCCGAAACCCTAAATTCGGTTTATAATTGCCGCCCTTTCAAGCCGCTACTAAACTACCAACATGGCCGATTTTGGGGGGCAGTTTCTTGTATTAGGTTCCAAAAACAACCGTAACTGCCCACATCTGTCCGCCTTGTGCATCCACCATGGCACGCCGCGTTTACACCAGCAGGTTTTCCTTCCTCCAATGGCACGGACTCACACAAACGCACTTGCCACCGAGGTCGTGCAAAACCGCCTGGCACAGCGACATCACCTTTCGAAAGCTTTGGTTGTTAGTCTAATGAAGAATCAGTATTCTAATACAGGTTTTTGTAGGGGAGAAGGAAGACCCTTCGATCTGGAGGTTTCTTGAATTGTTGATAATTACGAGTTAAATAAAGGATGTTATACAAAACAACATCTGGAGTCTGGAGGACTTTTGGTTTTGAAGCTCTTCCCAGGTGACCCTGTTTTGGACCCCCACGATTTCAGGGACCCCTATAAAAAAAATGCGACCGAGTTTATCTTAATAGGGGGGCCGCGCTTTTTTTAATAGGTGGATAGGATTGGTGCTTACACTCCCTGAAACGATCATGGAACTGGAACGTGGACCACTCGGAGGCCATTTTTCTCTTAGAGTCCCGGTCAGCTTCCATGATTGTTGGAGGATTGCCTCTCACCCACTTCCACCCCACCCAACCCCCTTTCTCGCTACTAGTAGCAATGCACTGGTTACCTGGTTACTAGTAGCGATGCACTTATAGCTACTAGTTGCGTCCTTGCTACGCTTCACCTCTGTTCCTCCAAGCCACCCGCTTTTGTGCCACGAGCCGCCGCGCCGCCCGCACCGAGCCACCCGCCAACGCCACGCAGCGCAGCAACGGCACCTGCTGCGCCGGCGCTTCTGCGCCGCGCGGGGCGCCGGACAGCGCGCCGCGCGCCGCGGTCGTGGTCGCGCGGGGCAGTGGAGTGAAGGCATGGCGCATCACGGGATGCATGCAGGCGGAGGAGGAGGGTTGGGATGCATGCGGTGCCGCGGGTTGGTCTGAATTGGAGGGTGGGAGAAGGTGGGGTGCCAAATTAGTGCAAAAGAGAAGAAGCATTGGAGGATATTAGCAGATTGTTAGAATAAGACTTGCAACTGCATAAGTGTTGCGACTTTGGTCTTGATTAAATATGGTTAGATGGGTGAGCTGTCCTTTCTGGTCGCCAGGGGGCTTGGCAACATGTTTGCACAATATTGCACAATTGCCTGAATCGACTTGGCTTTGGTTCCTTGTCCTGAGGATGACCCGTTTGCTTTCTGCATAAATCCGCGGCTGAGCTTGATTGCCAGTTCTCCGCCACATGATGGGCGCCATCTGCGCCCACACGATGTTGGTCGCTCCATGTTGTTCGCATGGAGCCGACCTTCTCCGAGCCAAAGGCCTCATGCGGAAGCCATTCGATCACCTCGTCTCCGGTCGTTGACCTAGACCGAGCTGCTCGCCTCGGAGGTGGTCCATCTCGAATATGGCGGGGTTTTGACCAGGAAACCTTGCTGGAGCCACCTGGAAGGTCAAGCTACATGGTGGGCTGAGCCTACAGGTTTTGACCCATCCCCAAATGCCAACCCTACCAAGTCAGTGATGGGGATTTCGGCTTGAGATTCCTGGAAGTATGGTGCGATTCAACATGAATCATGCGTCTCAAAACCATTCAACACTCTGATTCGACTGAAATCCAACCCACAGCAACCACTCCATTACCAGCAAAATCCAACAAAGCACGAATCAATCTTTCAACAACTTCTCATTACAAAGGCTCCCTACAAGTCAAAGACTTCATTTTACTGGAGATGGTCACACAAAACCAATACTCAAGGAGGAGGAGACTAGGTTAATACTGGGTCAGTCTGGAGTTGTGGGGGCTGGGAAGGTTCCACTAGCCTAAGCCGTCCATGAGCCATCTTGCCTGCTCATGCCCGTGGCAAGAGAAGCTGCACGTGTTCCCCAGTTCCCTGGTTTGCATGCGATTAACTTCAATTCCTAGGTCCAAACGCCCAGTAAAACGTGGTTCAGTAGTGCTTTTGCATGACCAGCTCCAGTAAATTGAGCTCAAACTGACCTGGTTTGGGAATGAATGGGAATGACTTCAACATAGCTTGGCTGAAGTTCCCCCTATTCTCGGCCTTTCTTGGAGTGAGGTCTTTCGGACAGTGAGCGCTCAAGAGCTCTGAGGTTCCGGACTAGTGGGTCAACAAGTCTTTGGTGATCGGGATGGTTATTTCTGTTATTGTTACACTCCCAAAAACTCACGTGGACTCTGACGTCTTCGCCCGCCTGGAAGATTGTTTTCCTCTACCAGGCAGTGGTTTTCAGGGTCCAAGGTAGTCTTCCACGGTGTATTTAAACATATTCAAATGTTGGGTATATCCCATCTCCCCGTAACAAAGGATGGTGGTCAGTCAAGGCCTTGCTCATCTTTAAAAAGAGCGAGTTGCAGGATGTTACAGGTAGTGGGCCACACCCAATGATATATACGCGTATATGTATATATACACATATACTCCCCCACAAACTAACGTAGAACCCGAGAATTGACCTGTGGAAAACTATTTTCCTTGAAAACCCAATAGTTTGGGGGGTCAATGTTAATCAGCAGGGGAGTATATATAATGCATATTCATTATATTACTCTATATGCAGTAATATTTACAATCCTTTTTCCTCTCGCTCAGCATGGCTTAAAGTTTTCATCCTCATACTTCTCAGGCCTTGGTTTGGTGCTGCATCAGGATTTCGACGAATGGGTGGTTGTGAGGAAAGTATAAGCCAACAATGAGACATGTCAACAGGCACCAGGTGAAAGGTCAAGCATACGTGCCCCATTCTGACAGCTCAACCCCATCAGAATGGTGTCAATATGTGTCCATTCATGTTGATGAGACTTCCGCAGCTTTAACGTTGCATCCACCATCCATGTGCCCAAGGCACTCAACCAACGAAGTGTGCCAGGTGAAGCGTGCACACGTTGCATCCATTTTGGGCCCTGTGGTGCTGGAGGTCACTGCTCGGAGTAGCGCTTCAAACAAGCTTGCAAGAACCATGACATCAGTCGCGAGATGGAAATGACATCCAGCCCCTCGTTGAAGGGGGCGACCTTTTCCAATCCATACTCCAGCATCCGAGGCGCGAATGAAGGACAGGTTCTCTAGGCGGCGGCCAAGGAGGCTCTGCCTGACTGTCAAACAGCAATGAAGCTTTTCTGGGTTGAAAAGACAAAGGAAAACTGGTCATCTCACGCACCCCAGATCTGACAGCTGCATGTTTCTCGGGTTTCTCTCTGCCAGTGGTGGCTCCAAGTGTGATTAAGAAACTGGTTCTGGCTAATTGTGTTGAAGTTCCAGGTACCAGGTAGAGGTTAAAGAAGACATCAAGTCAATCCAGTCCTGTATCATACCACACGTCGCTTGTTGCTTGATTTATCAAACACACTGCGACAAAATTGTTTCAAAACGTCTTACGAACAATTAGATACAATTAGTGAAATCATATGAAATCATCTAAATTCCAGTTATAGTTCTGCAATGTTCTGCACTATAAGGTCTGCTATGGTCCCACCCCATCTCCCTGCACTCCAAGAAAACCTCTCTGGAACATGACGGAAAAACGGGAAGAACTCTCTCTCCCTCTCTCCGCATGGTTGGTTTTCACACCTGCCTGGCGGATCGAACCGAACACCCTCTTGGTCTGCTGGTCCACTTGGAGGATCTTCACGGCCACTTGTTCTCCCACCTGGTCGGTCGTCGTCGACCCGCAGCGACGTCGCGTGTTGCTGGCGCGGCGCCAGTTGACCGTCCGTGGCGCGCTTCCGCTAGATCCACCCGGTGGACGAAAAAGAGAACGCCGCAGCTTGTAAGTTGTTTTCAAGGGCAACTTCTTTGGAAAAGTGCATACGAAGATCTAGGTATAGGTAGTGTGGGGTTGTTCACACCCCTTGGAGGGTCGTGGTAGGTATACTCTACACATCATTCTTGGAATTCCTTGCTTTCGAGCCCTGGCCCGTGACACGTGAGACGGCCACGAGCCGCTTGTCGCTGGGCGGCCGCAAAAGGCGGTCAACCGGCGCTCCGCAACGGAGGGCCCCTCAACACGGCCCTTGGCTAGGTTGAGTTGACCACTGTGGCTGGACGACCAATTCTTCGCATGTTTGGTGTGATGAGGATAGTAGCAATAGATAGCAATAGTAGTGTGAAATCGTAGTGCAACTAGTTTCGTTGCTAATATAGTAGTGTTGGCACACACTTGCACACATCGTCTGTGGCATCCACTGTTTGATTTGAGGGTGGGCAGTGGGGGGGTTGGACTGTAGGCCGGGCGTGGATGTTGTGTTGCCTGCGGCCAAACGTCACAGGGCAAAACACAACCCAAACTCCAAAAAACCGAATAAAAAAGGAAGCAAATGGCATTGGGCATGGTATTGGATGGTATTGGGCGTGCTCTGGCAATTTGGCAATGCCACTCTATCCAGTATGGTGACCCAAACCATCCATGTGCAGAATAGTATTACTTTAACTATTCCATACATGGATGGTCGGTCTAGGTATGCACTGCAAGCGACACCGGACGCCAAGACGCCTCGCGTGCTGCGAGGAACGCGATTTCGCTTCGAGTCGTAGCTCACCTGGAGTTGGGCTCGGTCATTTGAGACCTGCAACTCTTCGCAAAAGCAACGAATTCCAGAGTCCTGGCGGGCGCGGCTCCCGCGGGAGATCGATCCACACCAGGTGGTGGGATCCGGAAGATCGTGGAGCAGTCAAGGTGCGACCCGCAGCAAAATCAAACAGCTCTTCACACCGTAGAGCGCAACTCAACAGCATGCCTTTAGGGTTCCAGTGGTTTACTTGGGAATTCGATCCCAGTGGTTTTCCCATGATGGTCCCTCTGACTGAAAGCTGACCTAATTTGCTCGGGCTCATCCTGTGGTCTACTTGATTGTAACAACTTATATACTTGATTGGATTTCAACTTCAGAAATGTTCAACTGATATGCCCGAATCCTTCGATCAGGAACCTCCTCCACCTCAGCCCACCTCAGGGTACCTTCGCCTCCAGCCCCCGCGCCTCGCCAAAGCGGAGGGGACGCTGAAGTGAAGGGCCGCCGTGTTCCTCCATGCCACACATCACCAGGCCTCAACCGCCGGATCACACGTCCCGCGACGTTTCAAACGGTCGGAAACAGCCGGCCGTGTTTTTTGAAGGGGGAAGGAAGGCTCAAAAACAATGAAGCCGCCCTGCCTTCTGATTGAAAAGGCTTTGAGGGGGGAAGCCGAGTGGAACCTATCTTCTTTGGGGTTGGAGATCGCCATGGGGTCTGCTACTGGGTCTGCTGGGTTGCTTTGAACATGTGAAAGGGTTGCAGTGCAGTGCCTGCCCCGGATCCTTGAAGGGCTGTTCCATATGCCATGGAATGATTCAAATCTCCAATTGCACATAGTTCACCATCAATAGATTTGAACTAAACATGGATAAGCATAAGAAGACTCTACCTATATACAATACAGAAACAGATTCACACTCTCTTGCTTCACATTGAAGAGCTCTTTGATCTCTTCTTGCACAAACATGCACATTGCCCCACTCTCATGCCCAAGCCGGACTGCTCAATCCCAGCCCAGGACAAGCTGCCAATGAAGCTACCATAGGGCCTAGCAGAACACAATCAGAACACCCACGCCAACTTAGTTCAGAGACTCATGCAAATCTCTCAGACTTGGCCCATACTGCATGGCGCACATTCGTCGGCGACCGGAATGTGTGACACGTCTCACCTCTAAGACCTGAGGCAGTGCGAATGGCCTCCGAGATCCGAAGATCTGGGAGCGGAGCGATGGCCTCCGAGATCCAAGTCTTTTGGCCACCAACCCCGCCGATCTCGCCTGATCTCTTCCACCACACCACGCACCGTCTCACCCAGCGGTAAGAAGTCAATCCGGGCCTGGCGATCGACGCGTGTGGCACCCCACAGGTCAAAGACCTCATTTTTCATGCAGTTTCTTCAAAAAGGACCACTTATGATGAGGTCTTTATGCCTTTTTATAACCAAGTTTTACTGGGTCTTTACACCCTGGTAGGGGCGGGGTGATTGCTTCATTCGACGACCCCCCGCGAATGAGCGCTCCTTGCCCACTCTCTCTCTCTCTCTGCATGGGGCAAAAAGGCCTATCAATCGACAAGGCCGCGCGAAAACTCACGACAAGGCCTCTGCCATCATACCGGTGACTTATCTGCTTGGGCTGCGGTTTTCCATCATCAACCGGTATCTGCCATCCAAAACTGTTGGTATATTGTGAGTATCCCCGGTGAATGTTGGGTAGGGTCACTATCCAGGCTTCTGCCATCCAAAACTGCTGTGACTTTTGTGAGATTTAATGCCAGCGTCCAAAGTCTGATTCTTGCACATCTTGCACTCACTAACATGCAAGTGGATGGCATCCCCTGTTCGTAAAGGAAAGTCGCCTTCGGTGCCAAGAAATCCATGGAAATCCACTTCCTTTCGGCTCATGTGTTCAGAGTGTATTTCAATGATTTCCGGGCTTGACGCTCCGGGAAAAGCCTCCGCCTTTAACCCCGTCGGTCGCTTCGGAGCCGACCGATGGTGCCTCCTCCCAGGCCAAAGGCCGAGGTTCCTCGTCTTTGCCCTCGTCTTTGCGTTGAAGCATGTAGAACTCCTGGAGGGGCGAAGGCTGAGTTCAGAGTTGAGAAGAACATGCCCTCCCTCCAACATCCTCATGGTTATGTGGCATGGACCCTGGTTTTAGACCATGAAATCTGAATACAAAACAGGGGATGATCCACCAAAGCATGACCCCAGGTCGTTGGAGTCCAAAACAAGAGTAACATTGGGCACCAGAACGAGCACATCGTGAGTCATGACTTTGTTCATATCATGTATGAACAATTTTAAGTTAGGTCGGATCAACGGCCCCGCTTCTCCACTGCAGATCTTTGTCCCGTGTCTGTTTGTAGATTGGTGTCGTCCCTTACCGCCCCAGAAGTCTCACATGATAAAGATTGTTCTTCATATACATGGCGACTTGTTTTCTCGATCCCTCCTCTCTTTGGACCTTCTCCCATTTGGGCTCCCACCCGTCTCCCGGCCCCACCCATCTCCCGGCTCCCGCGGCACTGGTCGCGCTGGGTCCAGCGCCCAGGCGCGGGCCGTGGGGCCCAAGAACCGCAACTTCTCCCGACGCTCCGCCTGCCACGGAACGGACGTTCCGCGCCGACGGGACCGTCGAAGGCGGAACGGGATGGAACGGGTCGGCGGAGCGAGGAGGTCGACAACGACCAGGGACACCCCAAATCACCTCGAAGGGGCTACTATTGTGTTGATGATCGCTGTTGATAGACACCTCTGAGGGTGTCCTATTAAGAAATGACCGGCCGGTCATTTCAACTGGCGGTTGCTCAACCGGCCGCCCAATTGCAAACTGCTCCACCTCCTTCCTGTTTTTCTGCTCTTCATTGTCCAGTTCCAATTCCTGCAAGTTGAAATCAAGAGGCAGCATCAACATCTGGCTTCCAAGGTCACTCGTCCCTGTGGCAATTCCTAACCTATATAAATACGCCATGTATGGCATATATAGCTACATTGGTTACATTGGGGTGGTTTCAGGGGTCAATGAATATGTGTTTATATGCTACACACACACATATATATATATATATGTATGTATATACTGTATTCCATACATGGAGTGTCTGGGTAGGGCCATGTCGCCGGGCGAGAACTCTGAAGATCAACTGCAAAGCTCTTCATGGGCTATCAGAACATGGGCTCTTCATAGGCTGTATGAGTATGTTCGTCTATGGGTGTGCTATTAAACTAGGGAAATCTCCCAAAGACCCCCTGGAAGAAGGGAAACAAACAAAAACCAGGCCCGGGGGGTCTCCCGATTGAACTACACCCATGTCCAAATGCCGGACTGTCCATAGCCCTCTCTTCACCCCCACTCTCCTCGTCGCTTTGTAAGTTCAGTGGAGGCAGTTCAGGCAATTCCTGGTGATGCTCAGCTGTCGAGGGTGAGTCCATGCAATTTGCCATCAAGAGGCCGCATTAACATCAACAATGGAAGGACTGGATAACCCCACAACATCGAAAATTTAATGTTTATAACAACAATTCTCCGATCCTTCTTGTGCTGCACTCCCAGCTCCTCCCCGTCGAAGTTCAGCGGAGGCAGCGGGGGCAAGTCCTGGGCATTGGCCTGTTCCCTGGCGACAAAGGAGGTGTCATGATGCCCAAGATTGGGCCCTTTGTCGCATTAATGTCGCCAAGCCTGACGGCAAATGAAGGCAA